GGGAGGACGGCGCGGCCGACCCGCCGCTGGCCGGAGAGGAAACAACCCTGTGACCGTGGGGTGTGCGCTGTGAGAGGGGCGGGCGTCTAAGAGCTCTGGGGTCCGGCCTGTGCTTCTCGCCCGGCCTGCCTGTGGGTTCAGGCAGCAGGTGCAGATTGTAGAGGAAGACCAGAATTTAGTTCAGGGACTTTTCTTCAGAGAGTGATCCAGCCCTGCCAGCCCTGTTCCTCCTGCCTCAGTGAGGTCCTTTATGATTTGGGGACCGCAGGGCCTCCCCTCTGGCCACCTCCTTGCCACCCTTCCGGTTCCCTCCTGACTCTGACTTTGCTGTTTGTCTCACATTGTCCAACTTTAGTGAGAATCTTGCCGAGCCAGTTGATGCAGACTCCCACACTACACTGAGGGTGGCTGACAGCCAGTCAGGGCCGCCCCTCCAGGTGAAGTCCATCCAGTGGCCTCTGCCTTCAGCAAGGTCCTGTCGGCTGTTTAGCCAGGGCCTCCTTGGTCCTGCTGTTGCCTCTTGTAAATTTCCAGACATGGTCTCCCACTCTGTTCCATGGCTGTAAATTCCCACTTTTCCTTGCAGGATCTGGGTTTGAGTTTATTCTCTCCCATGGCAAGATGCCCACTGTAGGTATCTATGGCCACAGCCCTCCTTAAATAAAGTCTTGCTTAGCATGCTCTAACATGTGCCACTGAGTAATTTTAACAACACTGATGAGGAAACTGTGCGTGATTTTTAAAAAAATTGTGGCATAAACATAATATAAAACGTGTCACCTGCCAGTTCTTAAGTATAAAGTAGAGGAAATTGTAAAATTAAAACAGTCACTGTATAAAAGTGGACATGTGGACAGGGATCCAGTTGCCAGGGATCCAGTTGCCAGGGAAGCGCAGTGTGGGAGAAGAATCGCTTACACAGCTAGGCACCTGGGACAAACTCGTCAGTAGGATAGTTTTAGTATTTAACTAAAATCTCAGATGAGGTTCTCAAGCTTAGACACAAAGAATTGTGTGCCAGCTGACTTTTAAGCCAGAGGTACTGTGCGGCTTGATTTGCTGGGGAAGCGTTTTGCCACCCGACAATCCCATTAATGTGCAGTTTCCAGGGCCAGGTGACTCGCGCATTGTTTTACTGCTGATCTGGTGATGTCAGTCCTTCAAGGCAAGTTTTAGGGCTAGTTTTTGCTGCCAAGAAAAGCAGTGACACAAGTGATTCTATAAACATAATTTACATTAAAAGATGATGCATCCAAGTTCCAAAAAAGGCATCTTCAACATCTCGAGAGGTAGGAATACACTCTGTTTTTGCCTGTGTGCACAAATCTATCAATTCCAAGGCTCAAGAGTGTGAGGGAAATCTGAAAATTATTCTCAAAATGACATTTGTTTCTTTTAGCAGTCTTACGAATTGAATAACATTCTTGGAACTAACCATTGGGAGAGCACAGAGAACTTTTAAAGAGGGTCGACTTTTTGATATCCTCTGAGTTTGAGTATAACTTTGTGTGTGTGTGTTTCATAATTTGATATCTGATAATATTTTCTATAAAAACAAGCAGCTACATCTCTCCTGAAAAAAAAAAAAAAAACATGGTTTCCTATGAAGAAGGCCTAATATAACATTACCCAATAGAAACCGATTCTTCTACCTCTGAGAAGACAAAGGAGAAGAAACATTCTCAGAAAACATCTCGCAATGCAAGAGAATCAATCATTACCTTACTGAAAGGCTAGAAGGATTGCAGTCTGATGAAGAATAAAGAACCAAAAACACATGCTGTCCTGGAATGTCAGAATGTCAGACATGAACAAAAGACTCCAAGAGCTTCTAAAGAAAGAGAAAGACTGAACAGAGGATTAAGCCTCACTGAAGCTCTAAAAAGAACATAAAGCTAGAAAAAAAGCAAGGAAACCTCTTTTGTAGGCCAGCACTTCATATCTCAGCCACCGAAGACGTGAAGAGTCTGGGAAGATGGCGGCAGTGGGAGGTGCTGGGTGGCCTCCACACACTCGCGGCTGAGCTGGCACCACAAGGCCGTGACCCTGCAAGGCAAAGAGATGACAGCGGCATCTCTTTGGGTAGAAAGGGGGAGGAAACCCTCAGCTGGATGTACCAGGAGAGTGCAGCCTGGGGGGGCACCGTTTGGGGTGCTTCTATAGCTTCCATCCAGGAGTACACACCCATATGACAGGCTCTGGAAACCAGGAGCTGCTCTGGTGAGGGTCTGCACACAGTGGTCTTCCAGGGCAGAGGGCGCACTGCTGGAGAGCTATAGGAGCTATAACGGTGGTTATTGGTGCGCGCCCAAGACTGTGATATAGATGAGCTGGAGCGCAAAGTGGCAGGAAATCAGGTTGGATCACCTGTGTCTCCTCAGGAGGAGGCTGTTACTTGGTGCTTGAAGGCGGGGGTGGTGTTCAAACACCTGCCATGGACCTATTTGGGGCTAAAATGAGGACAGTTGAATATTCACAAGCCAGCGTTTAGTGCCTGTTAACAAAAGGAGCAAATATCCCAGGATAAGATTCTGTACTGGAAAAGAAAAGAGGATAATTTCTGGCCTGTGCCCCTGTCTCAGCTATAATCCCTAATCAGCGCTGCCTCCAGAGTTTAATGAAAAGCCAACATTTGATCCCCCAGCATGGGGAAATAAGCCAATATAAACTTGGATTGTAGCAAAAAGAAAATTTAGACCTTCAGGACCGAAATCCTTCATATAAATTAATTAACGCTATAACGAGTATTATACTCAGGTTATTCTCCTGCATATTAAAACAGCTAGAAAAAACTAGAGCAGAACAAAGAACACTAGGACTACTAAAAAAATAAATTCTCATGAGGAAAAAGTGACTTCCTGACAATCTTTAACAATGTAAGAATTTGAGAAAGTATTATTTCTTGAAGTTTTCAAAACACAAGAATAAAGGGTAAAAATGCTTGAATTTCGGAACGTGGAATCAGCACAATGGAGCGCAGCTCTGAGGGTGCTGCTGAGGCAGTGACCTTCCAGTAGCGCCACGCAGTGGGGCAACCGGAATGCAGGGGCCCCCGAGATTCCAGACACCCCGCCTTCGGGTTCTGTTACCGCAGCTCCTGACGGCTACTCGGCTGCTGGTCCTGCGTGAGCCGCTACAGTGACTTCGGCTGCAGCGTTGGCATCTGAGCCTTTTTCTATGGTTAAGGATTGTCCGAGTTGTGGAATACTGACAAGGCTTCGCTCAAAGGTAAGTATGAATTATAGTGGCATTGTTTAGGTCTGCTTAAATCCATTTTTCCACTCAAACTTTCCTGAGATATAATTTACTTTTGAAAACCACCCATTACAGTTATACCATGCAATGATTTCTTTTTAGTAATTTACCAGGAGTGCAGTCATCACCATAAGCCATTCACTGGTTTTTAATTTATTATCTGTTTGGGTTTCCTCTTCCCAGGACCAGGTTCCACTTCTTCTCCCACAAGCCTCAGCATGGCCGTGCCTCCCCCAACCGTATCTGGTCCAAGGGCAGAAATGAGCATCCTGGAAACCAACCAGTATCTGCGCTCTGAACTGGAAAAGAGCAAACAAAACTTCCGCGACCTCACAGAGAAATTCCTCATGTCCAAAGCTACTGCTTACTCCCTGGCCAACCAACTGCAGAAATACGGTGAGCCCCACGGGCCCTGGTCACCCAGGTGACACAGGTCGGCCATCGCCCTTCCGGGGGCTTTAGTCTCCTGTGGCCACCATCAGAATCAATTTCATCATAACTGTCCTCCTAGATGTACATGGACATGTTAGTCTCAGTCTGCAGAGGGGGAGGCCCCAAGGAGTAGAGTGGGGTGAAGCTGTAGCGAGGACAGAGGCTGAGCCTCTGTCTTGTCTCGCTCCAGAATATGTTTCAGATTCTACAAACTCACTGTTGACTTAAATAGCTCATGATTCAATTCAGATGGTCACTGAGCTTAAACCCATTTGCAAAGCGCCGTAGGAGCCACACGAGGGGAGACAAAAAGAATAGCCCGGTTCTGTTTCCACCGGCACCACAGGTACCTGGAGACAAGAACTTCAGTAGCAGACACGGAGGAACCTGGTGTTTGGATCAAGATTCTTTCCCCATGTAAATTGTAAATTCGAAGGTGTTACTCACATTCTGGGGAGACTGGGGGATTTCCAGAAATCAGAGACTCTAATACCTGATCTCTGTCTCCCCCGCATGTATGTGCTTGACAGAGAGCTGGCTCAGGTAGACAGTCAGGATCCGCGTTTTGTGGTAAATGAGGCCAAGCAGAGGAGACCTCCAGTTCCGGGAGTCAGTCAGGCCAGTGAGGGGCTGCCCTTCCTTTGCCATGGCCAGTTTTCACATTTGCAAATGCACTGGACAGTCCCAAACCTTGTCAGAGTGTGGGGGAGGGGAGAGCTCTAGTGGCTGCAGGGGACACAGGAAGGGAGACGGGAAGGGAAGAGGGATATCAGAGAGGACTCTTGCTGACACTGCAGTTCAGTTTGTTTTCAAATTTCTACAATTATTTTTCAATAAAATTTGCTTTCCAACTTACTATCAGAGACAGGTAAAAACTAAGGCCTAATTATTACAGGAGTAAGATGACATAGGATTTTTAAAAGTTCACCATTTCATTATAGTCATAGCAGAATTGAGGAAATTCTTTTTGACTAGAAGAAATTACCAAGGAGTCAGTGTCAAGGTAACGCTTCACAGTGATGAAGCGTACACGCCCTGAGATGGGGCTTCCTAGGTTGAAATTATGTTGTTTATCTTCTCTGAACCTCAGTTTCCTCATCTATGTGGTAGTAAGAGTGGTACCTACCCCTCAGTAGCATGATGATTACTGATGATTGTCATCTACGAGGACAGGTGATGGCAAGCACTGTGGATTGTCTTCCCTCTGACCTCATGTACCTTTTAGCATTTGAACAAGTTTCTGTCACAGTTTCTCCCTTCATTCACCTTTTATACAATTGTACCCAGATTAACTTTTTAAAAAAAGACTTATTTATGCTTACAGAACTGGGGTACAGGCCAGAGGTGTGGGGTGAGAGGACTCACCAGAGACAGAGTGGGGAGCAGAACAGGCGAACACCTCTGAGGGCAGTGTCAGGAAACATCTGCCACGCCCTGTGGGTCAGCTCCCTGGCAGGGGATGGAACTCATGCTGCACTGGGTGCTGATAGCTTCCTAGTGCTGGGACTTAACCCCTGCGCCACCAGGGAGGCCCCCAAAGATATGGAATTTTTTTAAAGATTTATTTATTTATGCTTGCAGAAATGGGGTACAGCCAGAGGTGTGGTGGGTGAGAGGATTCACTAGAGACAGAGCAGGGAGCAGAACAGGCCGATGTACTGAAATCCACTGCTGAGGGGAGCTGTGGGGGGGTCAGGAGGGGTCTACTGCGCCCTGTGGGGTCAGCTCCCTGGCGGCGGGGGATGGAACTCGTGCTGCCTGGCTTTGGAGAGCTTCATCATGTGGTGCTTTAACCCTTGCGCCACCAGGGAGAGTCCCTGAAATGTTGGGAGGTTACCGGAGCTATGGAAGTGGGACAGTCATTGGCCTTAAGGTCTTTGGTGCCCTCTGAGACGCACCGATACCACTACTGTGTACCTCGGGTAATGTTTTGCTTGAGGTTGCCAAACCTGGTAGAAATGCCCAAGATTTGGAGTCTGACCCTGGCGGTGTGAGCTCTGACTTTCCCTCATTCCAGTTGAAAATCATGAGCAAGGTGTTTTACCTGCCAAAGACTTCTCTTTTCTCATCGAGGTGTAAGATGAATCAGAGAGCCTAGCTCTGCGGTTACTCTGTTCTTGGAGGAATCCTGCGCACCAGCGCACCCAGCTTGACGCGTCTCTGTCCTTCCTCAGAGTGTGACGAGTACAAAGCCCTCATCGAGGCTGTGCTGGCAGAGAAAGTGCAGCCGGAGGCGGGGAATCCAGGCGAGGGAACGCAGCCAGCAGAAGGTCTTGGGTAAGGAGCCCTGTGTAGAGAGGCCTGCGAGTTACTGTTTGGAGTGGGGCAGCCCAGGCTGGTGGAATGAAGAGCAAGTTTGTGTGAGGAGAGAGGCAAGAGTGTACTTGGCAGCACAGAGCTAGCAGGAAGCAGCGGGGCTGTGGGGGTCAGGTGCCCCGCTAGGGACAGCCCTGGCCGCACACACCAAGGTAGCAGGGACAGAGACCTGGGCTAAAACCGTAGCCAAGCGGCTTCCGATTTTCTGACCTCGAACAAATTTACTTGACTTTCTTGTGTCTCGGTTACCTTAGCTACTTCATCTGTAAAATTAAAATACCGAGAGTCTACAGAGATGGAGATGAAGTGTTTGCTGACAAGCGGTTCAAACTGTCTCTAACACATCTGAGCTCTCAACAGTAGTTGCTGTAATTATTTTACTTGTTCTTTTTTTTTTTAATACAGAGTTCATGCTTTATATTCCTGAAACATTTTCAACTATATTTCACATACTTGCTCTTCTTTTTATAGCTCTGGTGATTGTCATAAGCAGAGCAACATTTTCTACTGCAAGACATATTTCCCAAAATGCCCCTTCATTACACATGTTTTCTCCTCTCCGACTTGGGTCTTTTTCTAAGTATGTGGAGCATTAATTAGTAGGCCACTGGGTAAATAGGGAATTGAACAGCTGTTGTCCGGGAGATGAACTGTTAATTTGCTGAGGACAAGGACTGCTCACCCTTAGGTTTCAATGTCACAGGGTAGACTGTGGCACTCAAGACACTTTAGGCCCTTTGCTGACAAACATATCTGAGAAACATAAAATGAGAAAAGCTCATTCAAGCAGAGATCCTTGAAGGGGGCCTAGGCCTGGAACCCGTTTCTTGATGGTGTATGTTGGATGGTGGTGACTGTGGCTTGAAGGGGAACTGAAGGGAGAGCTTTTTAAAAGAAAGTTAATTAACATAAAGCAACGAGCGCTGTGCTGTTCTTCATTCCTTCGGCTGCTCATGTGTGAGAACTGTCTTGGTGATCCGTGGGGGCATTCCAAGATACTTCTTCCGCTCAGACCTCCCCCACCTCCTATCATTCACTGCATCGGCTCTTACATTTTATTTTGCGTTGTCATCTTAGGTCCTGTGATCCCCTGATTCAAGCTCAGGCTCAAGAACTGACTGAATTACGCCAGAGGATCCAGGAAGGTAAAGCCGTCTGTTATCTTTTCACCCAGCACGTGAAGAACACAGTGCAGTCTTTTGAAGCCCTCCTCAGGTGCACTGACGTTGCGCATAGCCGGGGACAGCGCTTCTGTGAGCACCTGGCCCAAGGAAGCCAGCTGGCAGAGAGCCTGGCCAGCAAACTCACCACTGGTAAGTCCGGAGGCCTTGCCCACTGTGCTCGCCCCGGTTAGCCCGCCCGCGCCGGCTCTAAGGCGCCGGCCCTGAGGCTGAATTCCCCGCCGTCCGGCGTTCACCTCACTCCAACACCCAGGCCAGCATCATCTCGGCTCCTCACCTTGGGCTTTCGGGGCAGAAAGCAGCTGCAGGCAATCAATCGATTTCAGTTTTTAAGGATAATTATGCATAATGAATGCCCCATTTTGGTCTCAATTTTGTGAGTTTCGAAAAAGGTGCAGCTGAGCTATAGAAGAATTCCTTTGCCCCTCGAAGTCCTCGTATGTCTCTCTGCAGCCTTGTCTTCCTCCTAATTCTCCTGGAATCCACTGCAGTTATTTTCCGTCCTTCCAGACTTCCCGGCTCCCAAACGTGCCAGTCGTGGCTTCGTCTTTTATTACCGCCCCTGCCCGCCGTCGGAGCCTACCGTCTCAGCCACTACAGGCCAGGGGATTGGCCCTAGTTTCTGGCAATAGTGAAAAATAGCTATAGAGATTCACAGACAGGACTTTCTTTGGGTGAAAATATAGTTTCACTTCTCTCACTGGGGTAAATATCTAGGGCTGCTAGGTCTCCTGTGGTAGGTGTGTCACGTCTAAGAAACTTGCCAGAGTTCTGGCAAGATGCACAAGAGTAGAGATGCCGAGTTCACATTCTGCCCACAGATACAACAAAATAACATGTAGATCAGAAAACAAAAACAAAAAAGTCGCAGGAGGAAGCTGTAGGATTGTCACCGTCACAAAGAAAAGTGACGTCAGGAAAAAATGCAACACAAAGGAAGAGTGATGTAAAAAATAAATGAATATGTTTAAGGGAAAAAAACAGGCAGCTGAAGACCCAGAGGGAAGCCCACCCACTTCGCACTGGGGCCGCCCATAAAAAACTTTCTAATGACGCTTGTTTGAAGTATGATGTACGGGAAAAGCCCAACGAAACTGCAGCATTTACTATCTTATTATAAACTGTATTTTCTTCCGTATCTTTTTAGTATTTTTCAAAAATGTCATGAAAAGTGAATTTCCTAATGAAAATTGTATAATGAAAAGTAAAAACTGCAGCACGAGTCTGCTTGGCGATTGCCAGGCCGCGTGACCCGGAACGGGACGGCTGAGACACGAGCCCTTTCTGTTGGTGCTCACATGCCCACTGGCAACTCTAGCGCCTGGGGGCCGCGCTGGGAGGGGGCACCACCTCCAGAGAATGGCAGGATGGGGGGGAGGTCTGTCTGCAGCAGGAGCGGACACGTGCCCGCGGGGCAGACGCCAAACTGCCAGCATGAGCCAAGGAGTCGGGGCCCTCAGGGGCAACCCTGCACCCTGCCCCAGCTGCCTCCCAGTCCTGGCACCGCCTTATCTGGGGGAGACAGTCTGTTTGAGCCTGTACCCAGATGTAGGCAGCCAAAGCCCAGCCTGAGAGCAAGACCTGGTTGGAGAACTTTGTGCGTGAGGAGAGCTCCACCGTAGCTTGCCCGCGAGAGCGGATTCTCCTGGCACTGGCTGCTGAGTTATGCAGAAACACCTGTTAGCCCATCCCCCTGCCTGGGGCCAATGCCAGGCTGGCACTGGACTGGGCTTGCTGCCCCTAGTGAGAGTTTAAAGCACCTCGGCAGCCCTGACAGAGCAGCAGCTTGTGCCTCGAGGAGCTCAGTGTGGGGAGCAGCCGGGCACCCCACGCAGCCCTCCCAGGGCCACAGTCTCTGAGAGAAGACTGAGAAAGGCTGTCAAGGGAGGCAGCCTTTTTCGGATGGCACCTCCAGCGCCACTTGCCACCCGAGGTCACAGCTGGCACTGGGGCCTGCAGGGGCAAGCTGCGCTGTCCCGGCCTGGGCCCCTGGGCACCCCTGAGTACTGCTGCAGAAGCCACACACCGGAGCTGAGCCTTGCTGAGGAGTCAGTGTTACCCTGATGCTACCCGGGGAATCTCTGGCTGAGGAACTGGCCTAGGGGAAGAGGTGACTCAGCCCCCCTTGGGCTTGGGCACCATGGCCCTGTGGGAGGTCTGAACTCCGGGTACCCTCTAGCAGCAACGTCTGGGTTCCCTGCCGTCCTGTCAGCACGGGAGCTCCAGTTGGCCAGAAGGTGCAGAGGCAACAGACACCGGGACTTCGGGCTTGCTGCAACCCAGGGTTGTATTCTGCAACCTGTACTCTTAATATAAGACCAGCAAGTCAGGTTAAGGAGAGAGAGCTGTTTAGCGCAGTGCATGAAACTAACATGCAGAGCTAGAGGGGTATACCAGAAACATGGGCAAAAGTCCCCAGGAAAAATCTAAACCCAATAGAACTAAGCAACTCATCTGAGCGTTTAAAGCAACAGGCTAACTATGCATCTTGAAATAAAAATAATCAATGAATACAAGGAGAATTACAATGACAGAGAAGAGATGAGACACAGTAGTGGAAACAGATGTCCAGAGGAAAACAGGGAGGACAAAACTGAAAGAAATAACAGCCGGGAATAGCTCACTTGGGAAAGTAGATTTTCATTCAGATTCAAGAGGCCCAGACTGTTCTCAGGCTTCACTGACACTCCCTCTGCCCGAGACCCTCACTTCATCTACGAGTGCCCACTAGTTTAGAATTACTTTGTCAATACATACACTATGATTTCTTGTTTTTCATCTATCTGAAAATGCTCCGTGTATGTCTTTGTCTTTCTGACTTATTTTGCTTCCCATAATTTCCCTGAGCTGCTTTCACTGCTATAAATGGTGAACTTTTGCTGCTGCTGTTTTTTTGCTTTTGTTTTTTTTAATAGCTGAATAGTATTCAGGAAAAAAAAAAACATAACTGCCAAACTGTTTTGCGTGAGGGGTACCATTCCACACTCCTACAGACAATGTGCAGGCTTCTGGCTGTTCCCTAATGTCACCCCTGCTCTTCTTAGGCTGCTGGTCTTTGGGGTTTGTCTTTTGGGAGATTCTAACAGACGAGCGTTGTAGAGCACTGTGGTCATGAAACCAGGCCCCACTCTAACCTGTGTAGAGCAGGGGAGCAGGTCCCCTGCACCCAAGGTTGGGACGTTGGGCGCCACCTCCTCTCTGGCCGGCTGCCCTGCTCTCCCCAGTCCTAGCTAACCAGCTTGCTAATCTTTCCGTCTCTGTTCGAGTAGGATGAAGATTCACCGGTTCAACCACGTGATGATTTACCAATCCATTCTTAACAAGGACCTCAAAGACCTCTCTGGAGCTCCTGAGTTTAATGGGGCAATTATAAAACCACAAACTCCCCTTGCACCCTCTGCTGTCCCATTCACCCTGTTCTTCTATGGAAAGTGTAACTCCGCTGATTTAAGAATTTTTCTCTTACCTTCTTGGTGCTCTCTCAAATAAACGTTTTCTACTCCACCCGCCATTCTTCAGTGATTTCATTTTGATCGCGCTCCTGGGAATTGGAACTTAATTATGGGGGGTTGGCAACAGTTTTAATTGAAGACTAATAATTTTCAGGATTGTTTCAGAAGCCTTTTTACGTCGAAAACGAAGGAAACAGCCTCCACCAGTTAGGTTAGTGCTCGGCGTGGGCGGCAGTAACCCCTCTTAGCCCCAGACCGGCAGTAACCCCTCCTAGTGCCTGGGAACCCGGGAGCGTTTTCGGGTTTGCTTTTAATTCCCGCGCTGACGACCACCTTTACTTGTGGCCAGAGAGCAAACCTGACCCCTGAGTCTGCAAGGGGACGCAGTCTGGAGAACCCCAGGAAAACCCCTAGTCTACACCCAGAGCCGGGTGCTTGGGAACTTTGCACCAAGGCCGAGTCTGAGCAGCGCAGAGGCCCCCGCAGCCGGGGAAAGCGCCCCGAGGTGCGCAGCTCCGTTAATGAAGTGTGTGGCCACAGTGGTCTTTCAGGCTAGGATATGTTCGCGAGGCCCTTTGGAAGAAACGAGGGTGAACTGAATGTGTTCAAAACAAAATCCAAAGTCCTCGTCATAGCCAAGGGCTTACCTCCGCGCCCACCCCAGTGTTCACGCAAACACAACAACACGCAACTGTAATTCACAGAGTAAAACGCAGAAATCTGAACTAGGCCTACTGTTGAAGTTTGACTAAAGCAACCACCGCCCAGGCCATTATAGGGAATACGCCTCATGCTTTTTCTACAACCAGTGCCCTCACCCCGCCCCCCCATTTGGCTAATCTCTGTTCTGATGTCTAACACCAGAGATTATTGTTGTCTCTCTTTGAAATTCATAGAGATCTCCTTTTTCAGTATCTGGCTTTATTTTTCCACTACTGATGCATGCGCACTTTGTCACTCATCCGTAGTTAACTTGGGTGTCATTGACTCCGCTGCCATACAGCTGATGCTGTCATGGAGAGGGCAGCAGGACTGCTCTGGTACAAGTCTGCTCTAGGACAGGTACGTTCATCTCCCTGGGACACGCACCAGGTGCTGGGACACTGGCCGTGGGGTAGGAGCCAGTTTAACTTTTCTAGAAACTACCCAGCAGTTTTGTAGAGTGGTTTCCCACTAGCAATGAGAGGTGTGATTAATTCTTGTCAGTTTGGTATTCTCTGTCTTTTACATTTACACATTCTAGTGGGCACACCATTGTTTTAGTTTGTGTTGAGCACATTATGTCTATGCCACTTAGAAGTTGTCCTTTGTGGAAAAAAAGCCCATTGAAGCATTTTATTTGCTTTTAACTGGGTAGTTTTTTTAATTATTGATTTAAAGATTGCTTTATATATTCAAAATCCGAGTCACTTTTCAGATAGGGATTCTGTAAATATCTTCTTACACTCTTGGTTTGCTTTTTCATTTACTTGTGATTTGTAATTTTGATTAAATCTGATCGAGTTTTATTTCTCCTTTTATTATGAAGATATTTTGTGTTCTCTAAGAAATCCTTTTACCCCAAGATTCTGGCTGAATTCTCCTACCTTCTTAATAGTAACTTTGGGCTCTAATTTTTTAAATCTATCACATCTCAAATTCATCCCTGATGACAGCATGCTCTGGAGTAGTTTAGGCAGAAACCTAGGAAGCTCCGGCCGACAAGGCATGGGAATGTCTACAGCGCACTGGACATCCCTGGATATCAAGGAATTATATCCATGCCAGCAATGCCCAAGTAAGACACCCTGGTGTAAACTGAAATCCACACGTAGGAGACAAGCTGCTGACCACTGGACGTGGGGCCACAGGACAAGTGGAGGATTTGCTTCCGCTTCCGGAATGAGGGAGCCGGCACTGACTAAGTGAGAAAACTATGGCGGTGACATAGGCTGCAGCCCTGAGCATCCTTTGTGTTAAGGGGATCCTGGTCTCACCCTGGCGCCCCCTTCTCACTGCCTCTTCCACTCCCAGGTCCCAAGGACCTCCTTCCACCCGCTGGGCCTAGCGAGGGCGCATCTCCCAGACAGGTCTGGGCACCGCCCCTCAGGCAAAGCTCCAGGACTCGTGCGCCAGGAAGGCCCTGAGGGCCTCGCAGAGCGCTCAGGAGTCTCCTCTCGCCCCTTTGCAGGGAAGCCGGAAGGAGGCGGCCTGTGGGAAGTCGGTGAGCGCTGCCCCTGGGGGCAACACTCCAAGCGCCCGGCCTGGCCAGGAGACCCGGGCTTTTCCCGCTCACCAGCCTTCCAGTCCAAGTACCCAGAGAGGACTGCCAGCCGGCTCCCTGGTGGTCTAGTGGTTAGGATTCGGCGCTCTCACCGCCGCGGCCCGGGTTCGATTCCCGGTCAGGGAACTACTTTTGCTCCTCCGGCTAAAATCTCTCCGGCACCAGCTGCAACCACTCCTCACTCCCGCACGGGAAGGCACTTCTTATCTCCAGCTCCGCTCTCCACACAAGTGATTTTGGAGGGGACTGAGCTCTGGTTTACACCCGCCCACGCGCCATGCCTGGTCTCAGCCGCGCGGATCAGGTACATCTCGGAACACAGCCCAGATGGCTCGTGCGGTTTGTACCTATCCTGCAAATGCAAATGGGATGCTCTGGCTTGCTGGCATCTTCAGAAATTCTAGATCTCTTCTTGCGTCCACTTTGGGGCAACAAGTGGCTTCACCCGTCTGTTAGGTCTCTTGGCTGGCAAATAACCAAAGCAGCATGAGACAGATTGATAGGAGAAAAAGCACAGAGAAGTTTAATAATAACTTGTATAAATCTTGTATAGGTGGGAGACCCGGTCTGATAAGTAACTCGGCCACTGCTGCTTCAGACACCATCTTAGATAGCTTTAAATGAGACAGGGAAGTTGGGGGAGTTTATCTGAGTTTTAGAGCTCAAAATGTAGCCAAGACTGTTCTGCATCATCAGGCTATGGAATTACAACATTTTTTACATGCAAGGAAAACTAACAAAACGGGTTTCCCTGACCGGGAATCGAACCCGGGCCGCGGCGGTGAAAGCGCCGAATCCTAGCCACTAGACCACCAGGGAGACGACTGTCCGGTTTTTCTTTGTAAACTTCATTCCATTCGTGCTGTAGGACTTGGTCCCCAGATTTTTTCAGGTGCCGCTAGTCCCCTAAGTGCCAATCTGAAATATCGTACCCTGCGGCTCAGAGCGCACCTCGCGGGCGGCCAGGTGGACAAGCCACGCAGGCACTAGGAAAGATCCAGCTACATCTCAAATCGCCCTGGAGATGAACCTTCTCCACAAGGTCATTTGCTCCCAGAAAAGCGCCAGGACAGTGGACTGTTGCCAGTAGCGGGCGAGGGCAGCTGGGGATGGGCCTGGACTGATTCCCAGAGCGAGAAGGTGCCCAGGTACCCTTGAGCCATTCCCCACTGCAACTCGACCCTGACGCTCGCAGAGATGGCGGCGGGGCGGAGAGGGAGCCCTCTATTAAGGCTGGACGAGAGGGGCAGCAGAACCTGGACGTGGCCCCTCACACCTCTGCACCTGGAGTCTCCTTTCAGCTGCAGTCCTGGATTCCCACTCCCAAGCCCAGAGCAGAAGTACCTGACGGTCGTCACTCCAACTCCGCGTGGTGAACGGGGCTGCTGCGTGCCGCTGGAAGGCGCGGGGGCTGGTTTACACCTCCTTCCGCGTCCGACCTCTGCCCACCGCGAGCGACTCCGATGACAGCAGGGCGGTCGACTTAACACGCCCCTGGCTTGCTCGGCTGCAGACACACGTCTGGGCTCCGGGGGCGGCCTGTCTGCACCCTTCTTCGCTCTGCCCTCAATTCAGCCTGAAGACCTGAGTGCCTGTTACTCTGCGCACCACCGACGCTTCCTAATTCATGTTCCCAGAAAAATTAGAAGGTGGTGGATGGAGACAACCCGGTGAGCACCACAAGCCTGGAACTTACGGACACTTCCCGGAAAGCTTGACCTCATCTGGTTGGGGAAAAACCCCACCGATACTTGACGTTAATTTAACCGCACTTTCCCATGAGTGGAAACAGCCAGGGGTCCTCCGGAGGCCTGCACCCGGCGGGCATTTGCTCGGCCGTGAGATGGAGGCTCGGGGAGTCCTGGCTCCCCGGCTTGGTGCCGGCGGGATCTCCTCCTCGAGGGGGAGTGGGGACCCTCTCTCCAGCCCTCAGGGGCACAGCTCAGCCGGTCGGGATCAGGGCAACCCCAGCCTGGGAGCCGCTCCGCGCAGGCACTGGGGCTGTCCCCTGTTGGGCGACCACGACACAGTGGGAAGCGGCCACGTCCAGTCCCGCGCCACAGGCCGGCGGCTACCATTCTGCTCCCCACCACTTTTCGGGCATAGAAATAGCCAGTTTGGGCCTTTATTCTCGGACACTTACGGAAGCGCCACCTAGCGTCCAGCGCGCGCTTGTTCTGTGCTGGGAAGAAGCGCGAGTTCTGAGGTCGTCTCTGTGGCGCAATCGGTTAGCGCGTTCGGCTGTTAACCGAAAGGTTGGTGGTTCGAGCCCACCCAGGGACGTTTTGTCTGTTTTTGACAACTTCAAGCGGTGGTTTTGTCTGTTTTTGACAACTTCAAGCGGTGGCGCTCGCTGGCACTCTGCAGACCATTTCTCCGAGAGGCAGAGGGAAGAAGCCCTAGCCGCCAGGCAGGCCCTGACGTCCTCATCTGGACCTCTGAGCTCCTTTGAAGTGGAGTATTTGCCTTTGTTTGCGCTAGAATTTTGGGCGCCCTTTTTCATACACTTCTAAATCAAGTGAGTTCAAGGATTTTATGGTCACAGATAAGGCCGCCGGCTCCATTCTCATACATATCGTGTGTCCACACCAGGCAGTGCTCCATGGTCTTCTTCAGAAGAGCTTCTTTCCTCAAGCAGTCACGACCACCCCCGAACTGCCCTCTGCTGAACACTGGAGGGAGAGACTTTCCTCCTCCAAGAATCGTCTCTCACCATCCCGCTCATCACTGGATCTTTGTCCAGGGGATGCTGGGGATGCTCAGATTCAGCATCTCCCTTCTGGTCCAGCCTCGTTCTCTGGAAGCAGTAAGCTGGGCCAGAGACAGGGCTCACCTTGCGTGTGTTTTCTCATTTCACAGGGCCTGCTGCCCTGTGTTGTCTGGTCCCAGGGTCTTGAAAACCATAATTTCTTGTACTTTATCTTTTTCCTTACTTTGGGGAGGAAGGGGAGGATGTTTCAGGTAGGGGGGTAAACCTGCCTCCTCACTCCACCTTTGTCAGAGCTGAAGGAATCTTTTATGTGTTCTTTGACTTCAGTCGGAGGTGTGCCAATTTATGTTTCGATGTATTTGTCTAACTCCAAGAAAGAAGCTTTTTCTTCATTTTTTTGCTTTCACAACAAAGCTTCTTACATCTGCCTGACACTCGAACTAGGCAGTCAGTGCCCTCCTGACTCAACTAAGCAGGCGCCGCAGTAGGACAATGTGGCCAGAGACAGTGCTGCGGAGTGTAAAGATCATTCCTTCCGCCATTACCGCCTATGTTCAGCAGCCAGCTTCCAGGATGAAGGTCTCCGATTAACTGTAGCTGCTCCCAGGGGTGATCACTTAATCCAGTGCAGGCCAGAATGACCCAGGACTGTTTCCTGCCAAGTGGCTTCTCAAGTTGAGGGGGAGAAATCATTGGGTCCAGATATTTATTCCTATTTTCTTCTGTTTAGGAGTTGCCCTTTACCTTCACTGGATACACACAACGTGATAACTAATGTCTCTTTTCTATTTAGGAGCATCAGTGGCTGATAACTGTGTCTGTGTTACTCCTTGATAGTGTTTGGCTATTTTTTGTAAAATTATCCCATTTCAGACATAACCGAATCCTGCCCTTGCACCTGCACTTTGTGCGGGCCTGGACCCTAAGAATTACTGGCTCTCCTTCTCCTCTCCCTCTCTTTCCTCTCATTTCAGAGCTCCCCCAGCACCCCCAAGACACACCCAATTTCCTCTCCTCCTCAGCCATTCATTCGGTGTCTACCAGATGCCAGGTCTCCTCTGGGAGAGTGGCTGATTCTGAGCAAACTAAGTTCCCTGCCCCGTGGACCCCGAACTGACCTAAAAACTTTCTATGCCATTACACCTCACAAAGTTTTAAAAAATGTTTCCAAGTATGGACACTCAGTCTTGTTAATAACATGATTTTCTTCTTTATATTTGACATTGATACCACTAATTTTTCTACAGCTAACCTTTTTGTTTGTGAGTTACAGCTTCTGCAAGAAAGAAAACACCCATCAGTGGTTCCTCAGACCCTGGGAACCCTGGGTTCAGGAAGCTGGGTTCAGCAGGCAATTGAGCTCTCACCAGAAAGATTGAGCTGGGACCAGGTCAAAGCCAGGACAAAACCACCTTTCACTCTCCCAGTGCTGAGCACCGCCCAGTTCCTTACACAGAGAATTGGGGTCTAGACCTTGGACACACCACAGATGAGAAATAAGCCAAAGCATTTCCTTGAGCGGTCCCCCAGCATGGCAGTAAAGAGCTGAGTTCCAGCCACTAGACCACCAGGGCAAGGCCCCCAGCCACAGTTTGACCTCTCCAGGTGAAAGTCTAAAAGCAGATTAGATTCCTGACAGTCTTCTTCCCCTGTCCTCAGCAGCTTATTAGGCTCCATGTCTTAGGTTTTGTCTCCAAAATCAACTGGAGCTGGGGTAGGGGAAGCCCAGAGGGCACCACCGGAAAGAACTTGTTGGTTGGGTTACTTAATGCTTGTATGGCCTTAGAGAAGATTTGGGCAGTAGATAAGAAGACCACGAGCTTCCCGATTTAAAGGGAGCAGAAGGTCTACCCAGGGCTACGCTTCCTGGAGTAGCAGAGTAGTGGGTGATCTCCAGGGTGAATGCAGCAGACACGCCCTCTGGCCCCTATAACACTGAGCCTTTTGAAGGAGTCACTGACTGTCTCCAAAGTTGGTGCTGATTGAAAATGCAACTGGGCAGGCTCGACTCCCTAGGGCCCCCTTTTATTTTTCAGCAGGAATGTAATTTTCAGGACAAAAAGGATGTTTCCGCCCGGTTTCGAACCGGGGACCTTTCGCGTGTGAGGCGAACGTGATAACCACTACACTACGGAAACGAGGCCACTGGGTGCGGCTCAGGACTTGTCTATGAAAACCCTAAGTCCTGCCCTAGTCGTCTGGCCACTGGTTTTTATCTAGTGGCCCAGAAAACCCCTTTTTAAGGCGTTTGCGGCTGCCTTAAGGTTCTGCGCCACCCCCCAAACGAGGACGCTCTCCGCCCAGTTTGATTTTGGGGTTCCGCTTCAAACGCAGGACCTCGGGTTGCACAACTGAGCGCGAAGCGCGGGGTCCGCGGGTTGAGTCCCCGGCTCGCGAGGACGCGGAGCCCGCAGGTCAGGGAGCCCGAGTCCCCGCGCCCGTCCGCGCAGCCGCGCGGGGTTCTCAAAGGCGGGGGCTTCTAGGGCACCAGGATCCCCAGGACCCGCTCCCCGCCAGCCGCTCCCCTGCCTCTCCCGCCGCCGGGCGGGCGCAGGAGCGGGTGTGACTGGCAGGTGGCCGCCGCCTGCTTTTCCACCCGTCGAGGCCGCTTGCCGGCGTCCAGGGAGTTTCGGCGGCGCCGTGCTAAAGGCAGGTCGTGACGTCGCGCTTTGGCTGGACGCCGGCGGGGGCTGAGCCCCTTCCTGGCCTGGGCTGCGCTGACCCTTGCGTCGGGGGCACGTCCCGGAGGAGCCCAGGGTTTCCCCCTCGTCGTTCCTGAACCTCTTTCGAAGCAAAGTTTTAACATGCCTGGCACCTCTTCCATTTGCCTTGCGTAATTGTGTTCAACAGGTGACGGGTGCGAATTTTAGCCTCAGAGGGCCAACGAGGTAAAGGCGGTTTTCGTGTGTCTGGACAGATGACCGCCCTGCAGTTTCTTTTTGCTCCAAGACTAATGCCCACGCCCTGGCTCCTCGCTCCTCGCTAGGGCTCCCTTGGGAGAGAAAGCCCTGACAGTCGGCAAGATACTTTCCCAGCAGGTACTTTTCTCGGTGCCGCGATTTTCGCTTTTCCTGCCGCTGAAGCCCGAGTGCCCCCCCCCCCCCCGGGGGGGCGCCGGCGGGGTGCGGGTTGGGGGCGGCCGGCGCCCGCCGGCCCTATGAAAATGTGGGAGTGCGGCTGGCTCCCCTCACCAGCCCTGGAGGACCGAGCTCCAGAACAGGCGACCTTCAAGGTAGCTTTGGGTCCAGACGTTTCCTGAGAGCCAGTCACCCCTTTTCTGCTATGTGTGTTCTTCCTCCTCCCGCCCAGCCAGCGGGGAGATTCCCTTCTCCGAGCCGGTGGACAGTCCAGAGGGGCTGCTGTGCTCCCACACACACACACCCCCATCCCCGGAGTGGGAGGGGCCGTGGGCGCCGCCAGAATAACTCACTTGGGTTCCCACAAACCCAGGGGTGCGTCTCCCGGGGCATTCTGCAGCCGCAAGAGGAAGGACGTGGGTTCCAGACCAGCCACAAGGAGCCGCTCAGGGCCTGGACGCCGCCGGGGGCCGGAGAGGACCGGGCGGGCGGGCGCAGAGCCGGAGGGAGGTGCTGCGGCACGCACAGAGCTGCCAGGCACCAAGGGGGGAAGGTCGCGGGGAAGGTCTGGAATCCAGATAGAGCGCTGTGCCCACACGTGACGCTGTCGTCGCTGTTCCCCTTTCCTTGGGTCTTTTTAGATGTTGGGGAACTATGGGGACCTGACATTGGGCTGGAAAAGAGGTAGTGAAAGTCTTTAAAAACAAAATCAGGTTCTGTCTGGAACCCTAGGCTTAGTGATATCTGCCAGTGATGAGTCATGGGTCGTGCTGAGATCCTGGCAGGTAAAGTGAAGACAAGCTTGTAAAAACTAAGCAATAAAACTAGTGTAAAAAGCAAGCTGTGGGCCCTCCCTGGCGGCGCAACGGATGAAACAGCAGCATTATGAAGCTGTCGCAGCTGCTGCAGCACAAGTCCATCCCGCCAGGGAGTGACCCCCCAGGGCCCAGCAGACCTCTCCTGACCCGCCCACGGCTCCCCTCAGCAATGGATTTCCACCTGTTCTGCTCCCTACTCTGTCACTGGTGAATCCTCTCACCCCCACACCTCTGGCCTGTACCCCAGTTCTTGTGTGCATAAATAAAATTTTAAAATCTTTTAAAAACCAAGCTGTGACTACTGATTAGAGGATCACAGAACCCTATTGTTGAATTGCCCTAAGTTCAAGGAGCTCTTTCAGGGACTCCTTTTAAGGCAGGTGACGAGGAGACATGAACGCCAGGGGATTATCTGTAGTCTAGTTTTCTGAAACAAGATTAGTAAAGAAAACTCTTGTTTTCTTTAGTCTTTGCTATGATTTCCAGGCCACTCTGGAATTAATTCTTTCCTGCATAGATTTTATTCTTTATAGACATCCAATAAATTTATGCAAACAATAATTTTTAAATGATAATTTATTTATCTGATCCATCCCTTTAAAGGTAATATTTGCAGCCTCCAGAAGGCTTTTGTAAAGAGCCAGAAAAGTTCTGGAGAACATTTCTCTGGGCCCTCCAGGCCTCATGTCACAGGACGTCCTAACCAGAGCCAGAAGAGTGACCTTGGGTGCACGCATCAGGGGAGACTTCCTGTCCTGGCTGTGCAGTGCCTGGGGGTGTAGAGAGAACTGCGGTCAAGTCTGGGGGCACCTAGGGAACCCTCTTCACTGACGGCCCCTCCTTATTCACATTGGCTGGTGGTGGGGAAGGCCGGGAAAGGGACATCAAACTGATGGCCAGTTCATAGCCAGTGACCCTGGTTATCTGCAAAGATGGGCCGGAGGTTGACACGTGAAATGGGACTTTCCCAGAGCCGGGGCTTGAATTCTGGGGACCTGTAGGAGGGACCTCATAAGTAGCAGCCCTAGCTAAGTGAGAATAACTATTGTGACTTTGGGCCATGGGGGTCTGGGTGATTTTTATTCTCTCCACCCTCTTTGTTTCTGTGGCTGAATAGCAATCGCAGGGCCAGGAGTGGTCAAGAAGTGACCTCGCTGGATGATGCCCACTCCAAGCCTGGGAACCTCAGTTTTCTTTCCCAAAGGCCCATTTCTTGCTGCAGAGGTGAGGCATGGCCCTGGGTTCTACCTATAGAAGCCAGAGGTAGGTATTGTCACAGGGAATAAAAACCACCCACACCAGTCACACACGGCAGGTATGTTCAAAGACTTTTCCTGCGCTCACAGAAGTCTCAGGCCGGGGCAGGCAGAAAACATGGGGCCTTGTGCTCTGGGACACAGTGTGATATGGCCAGGCCTGGGGTGGGCCGGAGGATGGGGAGCGTTTTGGGGGGCCAGCCATTCATATACAATAGTTGTGTTTGGGGGGGACACCCGTTCATATACAATAGTTGCAGGGTTGCGGAGGCGGGGGAGGGTGGCCCAAATTGCTGCAGTGTTGTGAGGCCCCGTCCCTATTTCTGAGCTTGATAAGGGAGGAAGTGCTGGTGTCCACGTGAGCGCGTCCCGAGGTGTAGGGTGGAAAGTTGGACACCCGCCTTTCACGTGGGGGAAGGACAGGCAGTAGGCAGGGTCTTCCCTCCGCTGCAGTAGGCACCACGAAGTTTTGTTTCTGCGCTGGCCAGCCAGGCTACAGCCCGGAGCAGCCCAGGCAGCCCAGGGAGTGGCAAGCTGCCCAGCAGAGCCCTGAGAACAGCACCCCTCAGTCTTTGCTCATAAAGCGGGGGCAGGGACAGCTCTGTTGTGGGCTGAGTGTGAGCCACCGTGGAGGGTGACCCCACGCGCCCCCAACGCCAAGGCTGTGTCCTGTCGAGCCCCCGCGCACCCCAGAGCGAGGGCTGGGCCTCTGCTACCTTTGCCGTGGTCCCTGGCGCTGAGCACGAGCTCCAGCCGCTCCCGCAGGCGGTCGTTGATGCAGACCGACTCCTCCAGGCGCTGGCGCAGGCTCTGGATCTCGGTAAGATTCTTTTCCAGCAGGTCGGCCCCTGTTGCGTGCCAAGACACGGGCGAGGTAGGACGCGGGGAGCTGATGGCTCAAGGGCAGGCGTGGGGTCCGCCCAGGCTTCTCTGCAAGACCCCTGCCTGTCTCTACACTCCTGCTTCTGCCCTCTCACCCCGACCACCAGGAAGCACAGGTATCGGCCTGAAGCGTACCGGGGGTTCCGGTAAGAGCCCTTTGTGAGCACAGCTGTGGGCCGCTTCCCTGACAGAGGCTGAGCGCATCATCGAGGGAGCTGGCCCCTGGGCTGCTAAAGGGCTCTAGGTGGGGCTGGCCTGGCAGTGGGAAGCTCGTCTGCCTTCTTTGTGAGCAGCCCAGGGCCACCGGCTCCACCTTGTACCTCCCCACCTGATGATTCTGAATGATCAGCCGGGAACATCTGCCCACTAACAAAGGTGAGTGCAAGTGAAATCAGGTCAGCCTTTGAGTATGTTTGACGTTGGATGTTTTCCTTAAAAACTCTTGGTGAAGAGCAATGTGCAGAGCCTGTGAGGCATCAGAAATGGGGGAGGAACAGAAGGGAAGGGGACCTCCCAGGAAGGGTAAAGCCTTGGGGGGGGAGGGGGCGGTTCGGGAAGGGGCCGAGAATAGTTGCACCGACACATCTTGCTTCCGGACAGACTCATCTTTTCAAATGTCAAATGCCTTATTGTACTATCTGGGCCCCAGAAACGGAGTTGCTTCAAGTCATTGCTCTGCACGGTTGCACCCCTCCCCCCTGGGTGCCAGGGTGTCTGGCACCCAACCCAGTAGCAAGGCTTGAGCGGTAGCACTAGTTTGCACACTAGGGTGTGTGTGTGTGGGGTGGGGTGGGTGGGGGCGTAGGTCCCATCCTGTAAGAGCTCTTGACCTAAGGAAACCTTCCCCACTGAAGCCTGAGCTTGGACTTCTGGATCAGTGGAAATCTAGGCTTACGAATGTTGTAGCCTAGAGAGGAGGGCGAGCAGAGACGGGACAACCACTCTCCCTGAAACAGGCTCCCCCATGCCTCCACCTCTCTATGTGAGCCTGTGCCAAGGTGGGAGGGCCCTGAGGACCAGCACTGAGCTGGCATCACCCTCTCTGGCTGACCCAAGGGGCACTGCCCCTTCACGTCCTCACCCGTTTCTCCCAGCCAGGGTCTAACAAAGGAATAAAAAATCTGCAGGCCGGAAAGGAGCATCAGCATGGGTCTGTCCCCCCAGCTGCTCCTTCTTATTACCGGAGGGCTTGGAGCTGGGGCGGTACAAAGAGGAGAAGGAGGACAGGTCCCCAGCTGCATTCATTTTCTGAGGCCTCATCTCCTCCCAGGGACTGCAGCTGCGGCAGCGCCCAGCTTCCGGTGCGTCACTTCGGTCGGAGAAGGGCTGAGCCGCTGAGGCCCCCGAGGGGTTGCTGGGCAGTGAGGCCGGATCGGCAGGGGTGGCTGGGCCAACATCTGTCCAGAAAGCAGGGTGAGAGAGACAAGCCTGGAAGTCAGAAAGGTGCTGCCGAGGTGATTAGCGGCGGCTGAGTGGGGCCCTCCGAAAATTCACGCCCACCCGGATCAGTGGCTGTGCAAGCGCATTAGTTCAGATGAGATACTGGACTGGGGCGGACCCTGACCTCAGCATGACTGATGCTCTACCAGAGGAGAGGACACAGACAAGACACACAGGGGACAAGCAGGTGGGTGCGTGACAAGGAGGATGCTGGGGTGACGCAGCCAAGCCCTGGAGGCTCCGGCGCGGCCAGGACTGTGGGAGAACAGGTCCTGCAATTCTAGGACACTCGGTGGAGATCCTTTGTTGTGGCAGCTTCGTAGGTGAAGATTCCTGGCCTACGACATCAGGAGGGCATGACTACATGCAGCACTTGAGGGTGACACAGGACGCAGTGACGCAGGAGAGGGCGCCCCTCTCCCAGCTGCTGTGACCCCGCCGCGGGGAGGTCCTTCAGTGGCAGGACTCACGGCCATCTTGGAAGTCTCCAGTGTGAGGCGTAAGGCAATGCACCAGGGTGCCAGAGGGGTCTATGGTGCTGGACTGGAATGGAGAAGAGCTGCCGGACCCCCGTCCCTGGCTTCCAAGCGCCCCTCTGGTCTGACGAACAAGCAGACACCCAGGAAGGCGGGCTCTGGGGGTACTCACTGGCCGCGTCCCCCACAGCGGGTGCTTGCTGCTGAGTAGGCGGCGGGGGCTGCCTGGCAGGCTGGGCCTGGCCGCCCGCGGGGATCTGGGGCCCGGCACCCTGTGGGCGCTGCAGGTACCCCATGGCTTTCCTCTTCTGCAGGTCCCTCAGAATGCTGCCGAGAAGAATGACAAAGGGGCACAGAGCTCTGAGAATCTGGTGGCAGCACCTCAGCCCCAGCTGAGACCAGCGGGAGGCCCCAGCACCAGCAAACCAGGCAATTGGTTTCTACTTGGGGGGGCCGGGGTGTAGGGGTGAGGGACAGTAGTTGTTCAGGACCTTGGTCACAAACAGCCTGAGCTATGTGTGAGAAGACCTGTTTGGGTCCTGTAAAGATCATGCTGCCTCCACAAGCCACCCGGAGGCCCGGAAGCGCCCAGCACCGGAATGGTCCGCGAAACGGACAATGAAACTGGGCCTAGGCCGGAGCCGCCTCCCTGCCCTAAGCGCCGTCACGCAGGGGCGCCTGTGGCTGGTTAGCACCTGCCCGCATCTTTGGTCGTCTTGAAGATACCAGATACAATCTCACTCCGGTCTTGAAAGACCTAGGGGACAGGCGCTCCCCAGAGTCCAGCAGACTCTGAGATGAGATACTTAGGTTAAAGTAGCCTCCTACTGCCAAATGTGCAAATTACTATGAGAATGGGAACCGGAAGAATGACACATTTTTAAAAATTGGAAATGAGATCATCTGGTCTCTCAGGGTATTTACTGGTCAATGGTACAATCGGGACTTTTGGTGTTCTGATGGGATGTGAGCCTTTGCCCTTGGGTCTTTGGGCCTTGTTTCGAGACCTTCCCCACATCAGTTTTCACGACCCCCGGAAACTCTGAGTTACCAGAGGGTCTGCTGCGTCTCTGTGGCTGCATCCTTCTTGCTTTTACAGTCACCTGTAAAGCAGAGAGGGCCCAGTCAGGTGAGCTGAAAGGACGGGTGGGCCCTACAGACTCAGGTTGCGTGGCCACACCCCCACCCAGACTCTGAGATGAAGACTCTGGGGACTACAGATCCCATCACCACCCAGGGACAGCTGCTGGGACCCGAGGGTGGGCTATGCAGCCAGGCTTGGACCCAGACATGCGGGCCGTGGGGGCTCTTGGCTCTTCGCCGGCTCTCAGCGTGCCACTGGGGTCAGGGGAACCAGCAGGATGCGTTAACCAGCGCGTGTTCCTGTCTTTCTCCCCGAGCAATTCATTTCTTCATTTCCCCTTTTCTAGACCAACCCTTCATTAACCTTTCTGCGTGAGCCTGCTGTGACTGCTGTGAGTCCCTCCCAGCGCACGGCTGAGGACCCACAGTCAGGCAGCCCATTTCCTATCCGGGTGCCCTGCAACATTACTTCCCGCGTGACAAACGTTGGCTGGCCTCTGGGTCAGAGACATGAGGACTCGACGCTCGAGCCCAGGAGACCTGAGCTTCCCTGGGAGCTCTTGGGCTGGGTCCTCAGACATTGCCTGGCGGGCGCCTCTGCGCTCGCCACGGAGCCTGTACTCGACTTGTTCTGCTCTGAGTGACAGCACGCAGTTGAAAATGTTCCTTTCCTGGGCAAGACCGGCCACGAGGCTGCTGCCTGGTCCTGCATTCCTGCCCCATCCGTTTCCCAGTAGAACCTACTCCTGTCTCTGAAGAAGAGACAACAGTGCCCCCGGCCAGCCCTGGCATGTGCACGAGGCAGCGCGGTGGCCTCAAGCTGCTCTGTGCGCCCCTGGGGGCTCAGGGAAAGTTCCCTGTCAAAGGCTCCCGAACTAACTAATGTCCCTGCCGCCAGGTACCAGGACACACAGCCAAATCGGCATGATTATTTCAGCAGCTTTTGAAGTGCACTGCTTAAGATTGCTTACTTGATCCTTAAAACAATCACGGAAACTTCAGGGACCGGTATGATTTGACTTAACTTTTTAGGTGAGAAAAAGAAATCCAAAGAAATGTGAGCCTGGACAGGGCGAGCAGTGGACACACGGGCAGAGGAAGGTTCTTTCCACAACCGCCAGCTGTCCCTGTTCTGTCTCTTCCTGTTAGTTTCTCTCTCAACAAATTTCAGAAAAACGTCATCACCCACCCTTGGTGATGCCCCTGCCCTAGCAAATACATTTCATGGCAGCCGGGAGCCGGGTCCCCGCCGTGCCCACTGGCCCAAGCAACTCTGCCTGGCCCCAGGGCGGCGATTACTCAGCGGACACCAGACTGGACCATCACTTGTGCATGGGCGTGGGCTCCCGCGAGCCCCACCGGGAGGGCTGGAGGCCTGCCTGTCCCGGCCAGGATACCCGTGCTGAATTTGCTGGCGAGGTTCTCTGCCAGCTGGCTGCCCTTGGCCAGCTGCTCACGGAAGTGCTGCTCCATGTAGTGGTCAATTTTGCTGCTGCTGAGCAGTTCCTCGAAGTTCTTCATTGTGTTCTTGACATGCTGGATGAGATGAGAAGAGACGGCTTTCCCTATCCTCATCTTCTGCTGCAGGCGGGTCAACTCTCGAGCCTGATCCTGGATCAAGGAACAGCAATTCCTAGAGCGGGACAGGAACAGTGGAAGTGACTAGGCATCGTGGCCACTCAGAGGAGGGCACTTGGAGCATTTTACCCAGAGAGCCCCCGCAGGGACTTCTGCAGCTGAGTGACCTGAGTGGAAAGGGAGGGAGGAGGGAACACAGGCTCCTTCTGCTTGAAAGGCTGGCGGCCCTGCATACTTCTGCACACTGACCTAGGCCGTCTCTTCTAGCTGTGCTTTAAGTCTGCCCCGGCCCTGGCTGCAGTTCATCGCCGGTTCCAGCACAGCGAACGAAGAGCTGACAGGTCCGTGTGCACCATCCTGTGCAAGCAGAGACCACTTCTTTCCAACAACAGGATTTTTCTCTCACAGGACGGACCTTCTGTGTCCTCTCCACAGATAGCCAAGACTCAGGTGGTGAGGCGCCTTCGAGTTCCTGTATTTAACCACCGAATACCATCCCTCTAACTCCTCCAGGATAACTACTACAGTGTTTTGTCCATATGGGTTCAAAAGAATGATTAAAAAAAAAATGATCTGAAGGCCCTCCCGGGTGGCGCACTGGGTTAAAGCGCAACACTGTGAAGCTCTCCACAGCCACTGCAACCCAGTTTGATCCCCGGCCAGGGAGCTGACCCTCATGCCGTGGCTGACCTCACCTGACATGCTCCCGTCAGAACTGTGTTTTGGAACATCTGCCTATTCTGCTCCCCACTCTGTCTCTGATGAATCTTCTAGCCCCCCACACCTCTGGCCTGGACCCCAGGTTCTTGTGTGCATAAACAAATAAATCTTTAAAAGAAAAAAGGATTTGAACTGCTTTAAAACCCCATGTATCTGCTGTTTGTTACAGGGAGAAGAAGAGTGGGTTTAGCTCATCTTACTGATGTTACATGCATGACACTTAGGTGTCCACAGCAAGAATTAGCAGGCCTGGATTTTAAGCCTCGTGCAGCTTTGATTGCAGAAACTCAAAAGCAACCAAGATGCCCTGCAGTAGATGAATGGATAAATAGCCCGCAGGACATCTTGAAGATAGAAATGAGCAATCAAACTCTTTGAAAAGGTAGGGGGAACATTAGTACATGTTACTGGGTGAAAAAAAAGAAAGATGTATGATTGCAACTCAATGACATTCTGGAGAAAGCAAAATTATGGAGAAGATGAAAAGATTAGTGTTGCGGGGGGTCAGAAGGAAGACAGGACGAGGAGGTGGAGCATAGAGTTGCCACTCAGTCGCTCTACGTGAGACTGTGGTGTGGACCCAGGTGGTGGTTAAAACCCACGGACCCAGAGGCATGACATGTCACGTGAACCTCACGTAAACTACGGGTTTGAGTGATAAGGCTTCCCAGGCGATGTGAGGTACAGTGGTGACAGACGGAGGAGGCTATTGTGCCGGGACCCGGCTTCCGTGGGGATTCTTTCTACTTTCCAGTCAAGTGTGCTCTTAGTATCGCTCTGAAAAAGTCTGTGAAGCAAAGAATGGTCATGGGAATGTAAAATTTTAAATGAATTTGACAAAGTAGGTGTGGGTTTTGGAAACTGAGAGCCCAGGGGCCTCCATCCTTTCAGCCACAGTCTGTGTGTACTTTTGATCAAGGAATTGTATCTTTGATCTCAGTGTTCTCAGTTCTGAAATGAGAAAATGAGACTGACAGACTCAGCTGTTTTAGCACTATTCCCTGGATCGGTGAAATCAAAGTGGTACACAGTGACCGTGAACCCTGGAACATGAAGCAGAGTTTTAATCACCTGTCCTCGACCACTAAGCTAGTTAGTGATGATTTACTATTTCAGTAACAGGTCTGCACAGGTAAGTGCATAATGGTTTAACCTCATGGTATTTGAATGCCTTCGAAAAAGTTTCAAGGAAACAGTCACTAAGGACAGATTGAGAAATGTAGCCAAACAGCATTATTTGGCCATGTTGTAAACTTATCTTTTTGAGTTTATCAAAATACCATTCCAGAAACCAGGGAGACTGTAGCAAATGGAGTGAAAATGGAGGTGCTTCTGTGTAAATCTGTCTCCTCAGGTGCTGGAAAAGCATCCGAGGTGACAAGAGAGTCATGTTTGTGTTCATCCCGCCAGTGAGACACTACTTGCGTGACTGGGAGGTTTCAAGAAATCGCAGCCATCTATCAGTCCATTGTTGAATACACACATTGTTAGTTACAATAAAATGAAACCACCGCTGACTAATATGAAATAATTAATAACAAAAATTGTATCAAGGCCTCCCTGGTTGCGCAACAGGTTAAGTCTCAGCATGTGAAGCTGTCCGCAGCCACTGCAGCATGAGTTCGACCCCTGCCCAGGGAGTGACCCACAGGGTGCAGCAGACCTCTCCTGTCTCCCTGCTGCTCCCCTCAGCAGATATCTGCCCATTCTGCTCCCCACTCTGTCTCTGGTGAGACCTCCCACTCCCTGCACCTCTGGCCTGTACCCAGCTCTTATCTTGTCTGTATAAATAAATCTTTTTTTTTTAATTGTATGGCTTCTCTAAAGAATTTCCAGAAAAATCTGAGGAGAAATCCCATCCAGGAAAGGTGCAGGCCCCAGAATCTGCTGGAGAGTGGTGACTTAATTCTGCCAGGGAGCGTCCGGGTCTCTACCTGGTTTGGGACGCTGAGGAGAGTCCTGCTTCTTCAGGTCCTGTCTTGGGCTCATTCCCTCCCCTCGCAGCAGTTCCCTCCTCTGCGGGTTGATGCAGCCCAGCCTCCAATGGGGGTGTTTTCTCAGGAGGAGCCCTTTTGATGGACATGTGTCTAAAGGATGGCCTGGTCTGTCTCCAGAGCCTCCTAGAGGAATCAAAACAGAATTACTGGTTAAAGAAGTTGGATTGCCCACAAGGGTCTCCAGGAGCCCAAGATCACAAGACCAGCTGCTAGAAGAAAGCACAGAATGCGCTCGGAAGGCGCCCCCCAAGTCCTCCCAGCAGGGTGCTCCACCAGGGTGGAGGGAGCACACAGATCTGAGCGGCTGACAGAAGGAGGGAGAGGAGCATTCAGGAGAAAATAAGTGAATGGTGAAATGAACAATGAAAGCAAATCTACTTCCAGAAGTTACAGTCTTTCTTACTGTTGAGATAAAGCAAGCCCTTGGGAGTGCCGGTCAGAAATCAGGAAGCCTTTTCATCACCCGCAAGTTTTGAGAATCGTCAGGGCAGACATCAAGCTTGAGACGCCAGAGTTCGAACCCCAAGTCGCCAGGACACCACAGTAGTGTGATGAGGACTGGGGGGCAAGGTCCCGAGTGGTGATCACGGAATCAGAATGCGGAGGTTGTCACAGAGCCCCAGAATCAGAATGTGCAGGTTGTCGCCTGATGTCTGGCTGCTAGCAGTGTCCAGATGCAGTGGAAACTGCCTCTCCGGTTCCCATGGCTGTGGACACTGGGCTGATAGTACCAACTGAGCAGTTTCGACAGAGAAATCTAAAAATATTCCTGTTCAAGTTTGGTTTTGCACGAAAAATGTCAAAGCAACATTTTTGTCAATCCATTTTATTTTCTTAAAGATCAGTTCAATACAATTCCCATGGCTTTTTCTTAATGACTTTTTAAAGTGATTCTGACTCTTCCTTTTTCAGAAGGCTCCATTTTACCCTTCCATCCATTTAAGAACAGAGTCACCAAAAACTGGAGGTCACATGCTCTAATTATGACTAGTAACTGAAGGAAGGGAAACTCGTTGGGGTTTCATTTAACATGAAGTCAGCTTTAACCTTCCAAATTCCCACTGCCACCCAATTTTGCTACTTGTAGATGACTGTTTTTGCACTGCTTAAAAAAAAAATCTACAAACATGATACTCATGTCTGTTTTTAATTTCATTCTGGCTCTACAAGTTATTTTCCACTTTGTCAAAATTCTTTAAAAATGTG